AATACAAAAAGATTTTTTAAATTCCAACTTGTACTTCCTAAGATTACCGAGTTCAAACAAAAAAACAAACTCATCAGCTATAATATATTAGTATAGATGTATTTTTTCCAGATTATTAAATATTTTCCCCATCGTTTCATTTAAACAGTCTTATTTACAGTAGTAAAGTATTAGTTTAGTATTTTAATTGTCTTAAATTAAGTATTTACAAATTTTCCGTGGCAAGAGAAGTTTGTAGAAAATATTTTTCCAAACATAGCTTTGCACAGCCCTGGGGCGCGTTCGTTTCGACCGCTATCCGGTTCTATTACACCGTTTTTTGTACAGAGGTATTGCAGTTTAAAATTGCACTTCACGCTATTTGTTTTAGAAGGCCTACATGTTTTATGCGTTGTTTGAGCGTTATGTGCTACGCTTTACAACTTTAATCTTCTGATACTAAATTTCTGGATTAATTTCTAAACAACCAAATTTTAGTGAGTATCATATATTTGCGTAATATCTGAGTATTGTGTAGCTATCTTGATTACAGCTGCAAGAACTAAGAACAAAGAGAAGAACACAATAAAAAGTTACTAATTTCAAAAACCTATATTCCAGAAAAAGACTGTAAGCCGGTGCACATACGGTCAGAGTAGTATGTAAAGTTATCACGCGAGGACACTTTTTATATATGCCATAATTATATAGGTAATAAAAGCAATAAAAAACACTTTTCATTTAAATAAAACACTTTCAAGGATTTAAAACTCGATATATATCTATATATATATAATCCTCGTTCCCGAAACGGCGCCAATATATATTATACAATAGGTCTGAGAATAGGACAACATCTATTTTTCTTCCTGTGGTAAAAAAAAAATATAAAATTAAATTTTTAAAAAAAAACCAAAAAAAAAAAACCCAAAACCCCAATTTAAAAAAAAAAAAAAAAAAAAAAAAAAAAAAAAACAAAAAAAACTTAAGCCGGCCCACAAAAAATATATAAAACTTCCTTACAATTTACTAACTACGGCCTTATGTTTTGATGATTGTAACCTCGATATTGAACGAAATAGATTATTTATTAGTAATATTAATTATCTATAGCAAATTTTGTGTATACATAATATATATCTTGTATGTAGACTTAGAAACTTAGGTGATGTCCGTCGGACTAACACTTTCAACCCATCGCAATAAAACTTTATTACTCAATATATTGCAATTTAGCTGCACTCGATTCCTCTGTTTTACTATTTATTTTGTGCACATCCACTGAAGCTGTAAAAAGCTGTAAAATTCTAGATGTAGATTTACGTCTAGTTTAATCTTGAGTTTTTTCTTGGTGTTAAACATGCGCCATTTATTTATTTGTTAATTAAAATAATTATTCTACGCGGACGAAGCCGTTGACACATCTAGTATAGTATATATAGTACATATCAGTGTGTTTTTATTTACGAGAATAACTTAAAAAATTGTAAATCCCTTTCCCAATATATGATGCAGTAAAGAAGACGATTACTGTGCGTTACTCGATGTTTCATAAAAGTTGGTAAGTAAAAACGATGCCGAAACTTCCCTCATTTCTGTGCCGTGTCGCCAGAAAAGCCTCACAACTTTTTATGAATCAACTGATGGTCTAAATGATAGACTATAAATAGGATTCTATTAATAAACATTGGATTATTATGGAAGTCTGATTACTGAAACAATATCTGAAACTTATTGAATACATTAAATTAAATGTATTAGTACCTAATTTATTATAAAAGTTATTAAATATTTATCATTTTCTTATATCTTTGATGGCAAATGAAAATCGAGTTCTTTATCCCTTACGTGCATATATATTTTCGATAGGTACAATTTAACATTTAAGATAACATATTGGTGTAACACTGGATAGCAAAGCATCAGTTTCAGCACTCATATCAGAAGCAGTTGCGCAAAGGCAAAGGCCGCAATGTTACAATGCAAAAGTGAAATGCGAACATGGGGGCTGAATCCAAATATTGTCGCCTGGATATACAGGGCTGGATATTACCCAGAATCACCTATGGTGCAATAATGTGGTGGCATAAGGCCTCGCTAAAATCAAAATAAATAGAACTAGACAAAGTGCAGAGGTTAGCCACATTGATGATTACGGGTGCAACGAGGACGACTCCAACAGCGGCGCTTGAGATCATCCTTAGACTAATGCCACTAGATCTAGAACTAAAAAGGAAAGCAACGAAAACGTGGTTCAGGTTAAAAAGCGCACTCCCACGTTCACTAACAGGCAACACAAAATGATTTAGGCCATTTATTTACTTCCTAACATTTTGCTATAGAGAGAGCTAAGTGAAATATTGTTCACTGATTAAACATTATATAGTACAGTAGCATACAAGTATCACCAAATCAAACTTGTATGCCCCACCCAAAATATCGCGTTTTCCCACAATTCAAACCTAGTGTCACGCGCTTAGCAGCTTGAAACCTTTTAGCCCCGGCGGTCAAATGTTTAATAAGCTGTTAAGCATGATTCTAATAGAGATCCGCTTATTGTTTACGTCTTACGCCTCTGCAGTAACAAATATTTGCACGCGACTGATGGAACGAAGCTCAACTTGCTTTTGTTTGGTTTTCCATTATATTTAGATTTAGCGGGTGTATACGAAAACTTTAACTCTTTATTTCATACGCTATTCACGTCTAGTACACAACAACACTGATGGGAATTTACTCGCCTAAACTTGTCGTATATATTTATATAAAGCACAGAATTATGAATCCTAAAAATACTCTCATTCAGCTACTGAATAGATATTTAAAAATCAACAAACACACAAGTCTCTATCTTTCTTGTATGATAGAAAAGAACAGCCGAGCATGTATCATAACAACAATATGTGCTGTGGACCTTCTTTGGCTGGTTATTCGCAAATCTTCAAATTGAAACCAACCCTCGATTAGACTAACCGGCTAATCTTATTTTTAAAACTAATAATCTTAGTTAAGCAACGTTCAACAATCAGGTTTTCTTTAAGAAAATATATTCTATGCTAGAAAAATAGATTTGTTACTACAATGTGGAAAAACTCAAAGTATTTGAAAAAGGAACGGGTCTCGTCTAAGACGAAGACGATTCTTTTTTAAAATACTTATTGAATGCATTCTCAGTAAATTTAATAAGATCAAGTGCCATGACTGCGCCGGATGCCTGCGAATCTATTCATTTTTCTCTTTGTAAGTTCCTTATCCGTGCTATTGGAATTTTTAATCTGGACTGCGACCTACATTGATCAAGTATCCTTATATTTTTAAACATTGATATAGAGTATAAAGAATTTTATAGAGTTTTAAGTGCAGACTATACGACGGCGAGTGTTTCACATCAAACTGATTAACTTTCGAATTCAGAATGTTGTGTATTTCAGTTCAGTTATTTATTATTTTCTGCATATAAACCTGTCTTATATATTTTGGCTTTCTTTCCTTTTTTGACCGCCTCTGTAGCCAAAAGGTTAAACTTATTGCCTAGCATTGCGTTAAGCGCGAGAGGTCCTGGGTGCGAATCCCAAGGAAACAAAAAATTGTTTCGGTCGGGCAGGGCACAGAAGTGTGATCAGCTACTTGCCTGTTAAAGAACGGATCGGTAAAAGGAACACAAAAATGTCGCCCCGTGCCCCACGAGGGCGAAACAGGATTTCACACTTACTTAAATATATTTTGCCTATTAAACAGTTTTTTTTTTTCAATAATCAAGAAAATTACTATATATAAATAAAATAAATTCAGCACAAAGACATATAATTGAAATTAAATTTGCTTTATTCACATTAAATTGAATTTCTTTACACTTTAGCCACTCTACTGTCTTGTTAACAGATAATGAGGGAGAAGGAATCAAGAGGGGGGAGGTGTAGGGTGAATGGAAATGCCGATGAATACTAACACGTATTGTAAACGCGTTTCTAAATTAGATCTCATTTTTCTCAACATTCAAACGTCGCTTCGTACACAATCAATCGAGATTTCAATTTCACAGAACATTTGCTGATGTCATTTAAACTTGAGAAGCGCTATTCTTTTGTTTCGATAAATATTTACCTTTCCTTGAAGTAGATAACCTGTTAACCTCACCTATCAAACAGAAGAAGGTGCTTAGCTTTGTATATACATTTTTGGCCGTAAGTAAATCTTTGTTTTTAAATATTTGTAAACAGCACGCGTGATCATTTTAAAATAGGCAAAACTATAAATATACCCATTTTGATTTATATCTATATTTAATTACTTAAATGTTAACGAAAACCCAAATAAGTCAATAGAAAAAAAACATATTTTCCGTGCTAAAGCCACACAGAAAGAATAATTCCATGAAAATATTTTATATAAAGGAATAAAAGTGGAATTTTAAAGCAAATGTAATCCATTTGTGGCGCGTATTTGTGTTAGTTATAACTGTGGTTATAAGCCGAGTGCGAGCGAGTTGTAGATAATACGCAAATGGGGTACGGTTCCACTGCTAGCGGCAAAACTCCATGAAATAGTCCTTCTGTTAGTATTACGATGTCTTGTAATTTTCCTTTACTGTTTTTTACCATATATCCAAAGGACTTAAGTGATTTTTTATATTGTTGTTTATGATTTATTGCTTAGCTAGTTTGTCGATCAAAATCAAATCGCTGAGCTCGCAAGAAAATACCTTTAAAATTGTAGTTTGTTTATTGAAATTTAGTAATTGTAAATGTTCAAATATATAATAGCTTTAAATTAAACACTTTAATTGTTTAAAACGCGATATATATTAGTCAAACTTGTTTGAGAATGCTTTGCAGCAGCCGTGGTCACTGGGGGACGCCGTCTCTCCCCGTAGTTAAAATAATTTTTAAACAAGTTTAACTAATATATATTTATCGCATTTTAAACCATCAAAGGGTTTTATTTAAATGTGTACTACTCGCGTGAACTACAGACAGTATAAAAAAATAGTTATGACGCTTGGAGTGGCACCACACAGAACGCTAAGCCCAGGCGTACTTTGTGGCTTCAAACTGGTCAATATCATAACGTCTTTCACTAAAACCGGAGAGGACGCATATTATTATAATTTCCACATCCCTGCCCGGATGTGTGTCCGGGATTATCCGGCTTTTGTCCCGACTTGCTTCACTTCGCGATACTTTGTTACTTTCAAAAGAGTTTTTATATGAGGTAAGGATCCATTCATTGAATACGACCGTCAGCAATACTTTTTCAATAGAGTCTATTCGAGCGAATATATTCATTATGAAGATAGGATTAGACATTCATACCTCACTCGTATATAAGATGAAAAATAAAAATCACTACATAATATGTATAGGAGTTATTAAATAATCGCTTGCGCAATTCGTGCCAAAACGTGGTAAACTCGAAGCATTAATAAGGCAGAGCATGTACCACTTAAAAAATTCTTAGCCCCGTACTTCAGGCAGTTATAAAGATACTGTTTATAGTTTACGCGAGTAGTGCACATTTAAATGAAACACTTTAACGGTTTAAAACGCGATATATTAGTTAAACTTATTTAAAAATGTTTTTTGTCTCCCCGCGACCACGGCTGCTGCAAAGCATCCGAAACGTCGGGCCGAAGTTAAAAATCATTTTCAAATAAGTTTAACTGATATATCGCGTTTCAAACCGTTAAAGTGATAAAGATATTTTTTATGCACCACTAGTTGTGCAATATTTTTAACTAATAACAAGACAAAATTATGTAATTTTCGACTTTCCTTTGTAGGTAGGTAGGTAGGTGGGGCAAAATGTCAACAGTGATCCGCGGTGTGTTTTGGTGGACGAGCTTTTTTTTAAGAAAGAAGGGGTTAAATACCGCAAACGTATATTATCTACGAAATGTCGGTGTCGACGGAAGACAATAGTCGAAAGGTTTGCAAAATATTCGGAAATCTACTGACTGATATTAAAACGCGATTAAACTTCACGGCTTTTTCATCTGCGCGTGACCCAGATGGAATTTCGATATTGCAACAACTCATTTAATGCTCAGTTGCATCCAATTTGGATCGAACCCACGACCCACTCAGTTACCCATTATTTTTACACTGCTACCGGACTAACAAACCCTTAATGGACTGGTAAGACATTTTTACCAGTAAGAACATATAAATAACATTTGAAAACATCACAAATCAATTATTCATTCAACATATTGGAAACCTTTCAAGTGACGTACAGTAAAAAACAAATATTTGTATTTTTTATTGATACATCAACAAAATTACTGTTTATTTGACACCGATAGAAATATCAGAATTATTTTGCGTAGCATAATAAATTGTTTTTGTTATCTGTGGTATAAGTTAAGAGCGACGACTCACCTAGATTCTTTTTTAATGATAATTATACTTTTTATACTTCGGGCTTTATTACAAGAGTATACATTTTATCTGACATAACCAAAGGCGAAATCAGTGTAATAATAAAATGTTCATATTTATATCCCACAGACATCACAATTTAGTGCGATATTACTTTACAGGGTGGCCATTTTTTCAATGAAGATTTTTTACTGACATATGCCATTTACATGAGAAAAGTAATAAAGTTTTAAAGTACAGCAGTACTACATTATACCCTTCTTCTCTACGAATTTTCGATCAGTTATTATGCCATGAAGCGATCTGAACATAGAACAATCGAAAAAAAAGTTTGTTATGTTTCTCTTTGTTGTAATCTAACTAATAATAATTAAATATAGATAAGTCGCTTCCGTATCTAACTTGTAGATACTCATTAAATTTGAAGCAGAGCCGACCCTCAGATGTTCCGAACGGTGATCATTTATCACTCGGTCACTCGTTTGTTGGTGTATTTTTTCGTTAAATACACAGCTGTGGGGAAACTAGGCTCTTTCATGAATATGGTCTGCTCAACATTCATTACTTAGTGAGATTGATAGGGAGATTGCGGTCCCATGTAACATTATCACTCACCTATAAGATTATATGTATATTATTAATCAAAGGTTCTCCACATAATAGAGACACTAACTTCAGCCAAATTATATTGTGCTGCCGACCTTATCTTATGAAAAAAAAAACTTTATTCTCTTTAAAATTTTACAAATTGTTTAGATTCGTCATTTTTTTTTTGTTTGTCTGTCTGTTTGTCGTGGTTCTACAGAGCAACATAACTGAGAAGAATACCCAAGTAACTCAGTCCGACTTTGGAACAGCTAGGTTATTCTTATTTCGTGAGTTCAAATTATGGCTTGTACATTCGCAAATCTATAGACTAAAACTGACCAATGAGATCCACTTATCACAGATACTACATTCCACACTAAATAGTAAGTGCTGTGCTTAATTTATGGATTGAACATTTGCAAATGTATGGACTAAAACTGGATCGATAAAAAAATCAAAAATCATTTATTCATGTAGGTAGTTACACTTGTCAACGGTACACTTTGCAGCAATTATGAGCCCAAATTACAAACACAATCACCAATAGATCTCTCTCGTTTTTACCCGTTGAAAAGTGTTTTATTAAACACGTATGGGTTCTCTATGCATTATGTAATATTTTAGCAACATATAAGCCGTGAGAAAACTGAATTAAGCACACGTGAAAGAGCATTCTCACAACACAATCAAAGCGCTAGTAACTCAACTCACAGTAACAAAGTTCATATTAAATTCAAGGGGCCAGAATTACAATATTGAATGTGCGAAAACGTATTTCGGCGGAAAAACTCGAGGGCAAGTGAATAATTCACTAGCAATCACTGGTAGCTTCATTTATTCATAAAACAGTCCGTCCGCGCAGCGACGCGCTATTATTTACATTTATTCTTCGCTTTTCATATGTTTTTTCGAATGATGAAGCAAAAGGAATTATCTTTTACTCTATATTGAAGCAAATGATCAAAAGACTTTCATAGTATTTCGTCGTCGTTGTCTATCATGGTATTTTATAATAATTACGCTTGTCAAGCGTTGTCTATTACAAAAAAATAATTATTATTTCTATAGGACATTCGACGGTATCGTTCGTGTAATGGTTTATAATCTTTTTTTTATTATTAAGTTAAGTAGTTTGTTTAAGATAGAGGAGAACAGACAAGCGCGGGTTTGACTTGACGTAAGGTGAAATACCACAGCCACACATCTTTTGGAAATTCACAGATTAAAACCGAAACGCGCTCAAATTTTCAAGTTGTATGGACAGTGGTTTGTGACTGGAACGGAATCTCGATTCTTATACCTATTCAATATGCAGATTTACAGGAAGTCCAAGATATTAAAAAAAATATATAAATTGATTAGTCAATGTTGATCCTGGTGGGGATCGAACCCACGACCTTTTGATTATTAGCCATATATTGCTACCATTCGAAGCATCAAGCTTTAATAAAACAACTATCAGGCTTTAGTAAAATAATAAAATCTTTTAAGAAAAGTTGTATGAAGGAATTTCAAATGGTGTCAGTATGCACGAGAGGCAGAGGCAAAGGGTTATCAGGTATAAGCCATTAAATAAACGTGTGTCGTCTTCATTCTGCACCAGTGGGTGGGTCAGTGGGTTAAGTGCGTAGGGGAGCCAGTTCAGTTTCCAGGTCAACACCTTCTCTCGCTACGTAGATCATTCGAACATTGCTATACTCATTTGTCATACAATTTTAACACTTACTATTACAGGAATACCTTACATAAGCGAAACATTTTTTAATGATGGCAGATGGGTCTCACGTAATGGAAAGAAATATTCCAGTCTTATAACATCGTAACAAGATGTGCTGTCATTCTATTTTGGCTTTGCATATTTGGAAACCCACAAAAAGAACCCGCAAAAAGAAATCTATTAAACTTCACTACATTTTCCTTATTTTCATTTTTCAATAATTAATATTATTAAAAATTATTTTATTAATAATTATTTCCTAAAATATTATTAATTGTGTCTCTAGTCCCAATTAAACTATAATACTTCTTAAGTTTCTAATGCAAATCGTAGCGCTACGGTGCTACGTACGAAGTACTCAACAATCTTAGATGTCTTCAATAAAATATGTACATAAGATGTGATAATGGTTATGGATTTAAAAAAAATAAACAAAATTTTTTTCTCTGAAAAATATGTTCTTAAAATTTACAACAACTATCATTTACAGTAATAAAGCTGAAGATGTTTTTTGGTTGTAATGTTTGAACGCGCTAATCTCATGAACTACGACTTAATGCAAAAAAATTAGAAATATATATCCCAACAAACTCCGTCGATTACTTATTAATAAATTTTATTTCAATGTATAGGCACTTATAAAACAAAAATACTTTGTTTTGTATATTATTTTTCTTTTTATTCATATTTTAATGTATAGTTAATCCCACTTAAATTTTAATGTGTGCTTCTTTATAATATTTGTTTTTACTTGTGTTTTGCCTATATGTTCTTCACAACCAGTTCCCCTCAAACATGTTCTTAGGATAAGTATTTAGTGTAAGAACGTTGGTGAATCTAATAAATATTTAGGGTTACGACGTACAATAAGCACGTTTTTTGACATTATAAACGGTCTAGTGTGTCTTGTACACACGCTTAAGTACTATTATGCAAGCAAAGTATTTTTGGTTTTAAATTATTGAGTTGGAAATAGAAAAATAATCTAAAATTTCAGTATAGTGAAAGAATGTGGAGAAGGATGAAGTCTTGAATTTTCAAGAATGCATATTGAAAACTTTAAAAACGATGGACTCTATAGTTAAAATTCGATTGTAAATTCATTTTTTCTTTAATTTATAATCGATTTTCAATTTATGAAGCATATTTCCCATTTCTTCACTTTTATTTATTTCAAACTTTTAAAACAAACCATACATGCAATATATATAGTCACGGAAAAAATAAACTAAATTAAAAGATTTTCCTTGGACAGAAGGAGAATTGTTATAATGCTACGTTTTACAATAAGTAACAAAGGACATGTTACTTATTGTAATCATATTTTTCATTTTGTATAACAGACGTATGATTATACAGTTGTTGTAATGCAATTGAAAACCATCAACGCTCATCTACAAGATCAAAGTGTTAAACAAGATAAGCGAGTAACTGAAAATGTTTAATATCGCGGGAGATTACTTCACGAGTGTTTTACTGAAGAATTTAATTAGATTCATTTCGGAGTCACTTTGATGTATTTTTAACTGCGAACTGTTTTAACTTCTATTGCTTTTTCTCTGCAAGGGATAAAATTACTTAAGTTATTAAAGTATTTACTTCG